GGAGTGGGGAAGGGAGGGGCTCCTCTCTGAGTCCAACATCCTTGTGCAAAGCCCCACATCCTCCCTGGGGCACCCTGAGCACCCCCAACAGGTGTTTTGGGGGGGGAGCAAAAAGGCCCCTAAAAAATGGGGGAGATTCACCCCCAAAGCCACCCCAAAGCCTCCTGGGGGTCACTGGTTGTCCCCAGGCTGGTACTGGGGCTCGGTGGCGGTGAAATAGTCCTCGAGGAAGGACTGGAGGTACTCGAAGGTGGGGCGTTCCTCGGGCTCCCGCTTCCAGCACTGCACCATCACCTCGTGCAGGGATGAGGGGCAGCTCCCCGGGCACTGCATGCGGTACCCCCGCTCCACCTGCTCCAGCACCTCCCTGTTGTTCATCCCTGCGTGACAGGGACAGCCCTGCTCAGCGAGCAGCACCCCCGCGGGACCAGCCAGCGGGGAAAACGAGGCACGGGGCACCCCTTGCCCAGGGAGATCAGCCCCTGTCTGCACCCCAGGGGTGCCCACTGCCCCGGGGGGGCCATACCTGGGTAGGGCACCCGGCCTTTGGTCACCAGCTCCGTCAGGAGGATGCCGAAGGACCAGACGTCCGACTTGATGGTGAACTTCCCGAAAAGCGCGGCCTCCGGAGCCGTCCACTTGATGGGGAACTTGGCACCTGCAGGGAGAGGCAGGAGAGCCATGGCTGGGGCACCCCCCTGCACCCACACCCACGGCACCCAGCTCTGGGGACACCCCACACCCTGGATATTCTGCACATGGAGCTCCCTGTGCTGGGGGTGTCCTGAACCCAGGGCACCCTGAACTGGGGGTGCCCAGCACCCGTGAAACCCTCAGCCTGGGGCACCCCACACATGGGGCACCCAGCACCCAAGGCACCCAGCACTGGGGACACCCTGCATCTGGGGCACCCATCCCCTGGGGCACCCATAAACTGGGGTACTTATAATTTGGGGTGTCCTTCACCCATGATATCCATTCCCTGGGTCACCCATACCCTAGGATGCCAATCCACTGGGGTATCACCCATCATCTGAGGCATCCATCACCTAAAATACCCATCCCCTGAGGCACCCATCTTTTGGGGTGTCCATCACCAGGGACACCCATCCCCTGGGGTACCCATCATCCAAGTTATCCCTCACCCAAAATACCCATATCCTGGGGCACCCATTATTTGGGGTGTCCATCACCAGGATCCCCACCCCCCGGGATACCCATTATTTGGAGTGTCCATCACCCAGGACACCCATCCCCTGGGATACCCATTATTTGGGGTGTCCATCACCAGGACACCCATCCCCTGGGATACCCATTATTTGGGGTGTCCATCACCCAGAACAGCCATCCCCTGGGATATCCATCACCCAGGATACCCACCCCCCTGGGATACCCATTATTTGGGGTGTCCATCACCCAGGACACCCACTCCCCTGGGATACCCATTATTTGGGGTGTCCATCACCAGGATACCCACCCCCCTGGGATACCCATTATTTGGGGTGTCCATCACCCAGGACACCCATCCCCTGGGATATCCATCACCAGGATACCCACCCCCCTGGGTACCCACTATTTGGGGCA